ATATAATGTTAATACTGAGTATGTAGATTGCAATAAACCGAAGATGAATTGAGTTTTTAAGTTCCTTGACTAACACTCTTATGACGAATTGTCAACTTGAAGTGTAGATTGCTCCTTTCGAAATGATATTCTGTTTATACTTATGTAAGCTTGGAGTGAAGTTTTAGTTGCATTGGAAGTTTAAACCCCTTTTTTATGTCACTCCAAGATAATATTGTTAATATAGCAACCATTCAAAAAAACCTACTCTCAACTCCAAGCTATCAGTGTAAACCGTAGAATACCTTTTTAGAGAAAAATTTAATTTTTTTACATAAGTATACAGTCTGCTCTTTTAATCGTCAAATTTACAGGATTTAGTCGGAAATAGTCAGATTTAGTCCGAGGGATATTACTGAAGATATTGTGAATGTCGGTATGAGAACGACTTCTGACTAAATCCTGAAAATCTGACGACTAAAGGAACGGAGGGATAATAAATGCAGATAGTCGTGCACGTGCCTTCGCATTTCCTTCTTGAAGGTGAGAAGAGGACGAAATTTTAAACCATAAGTGGGATTCTTACGAATTTAATATAAAATAATGGGAGCCGGAATTGTAGTGGGTAGAGGTGCGTACTACTACTCCATAGGACCCCTGGTTCGATGGGAACTCAATCAAAAGATGTTGCTTATTCAAGTGTATTTGAAAAAAAAAAGGTCTGTAAAAGGTCTTAAATGAAATTTGGGTCGATTTGAATTTTTCGCGTAAAATTTTACATGTTTTAGCATAAGGTCTCTCGATGAATGTACTAGAGTGCTCTAGTGCGGGAAAAAGCGTTCGATGAGGGTTTTTCTTTCACTAAAGCCAAGTAGATATTTTCTTGCATCAAATGTCAAATGTTGGTCTGCACTGCACTTTTCTACACTTTTAGTGCATTCATCGAACAGACCTATGAAAATGCAGAGAACGTTTTACAGTACATTTTGTGATAACCATATAATCAGGCAAGTGTAAACAACTACAATGCAATCTTTCACACATCTATTCAAACAAGGTTTTTTTTTAAATTCTCAAAACAGCGAATTGATGGATCATTTATTTTCATCATTTGTTCTCACGCATTAAGGATAAACGTTGCGGGTAACGATTTTCATCACCAGAAGAAGCTGTTAACGTGTTCAAAGAGTACGCTTTTGAGGGACCGACTTCAGTGCGGGAAAAATGCTTCTCAAATTAGTTTGAACGTATGCAAGAGTATATAAATCATACTAAAGAACATGATAAAAACATGGTAAGGTAGAACAGCTGAGAGGCATTTTTGAAACTCTTGACGTTTTCAAGCAACTTAATTTTAAAATTTTAAACCAGGGACCGAAAATAACTGTTAGTGAATAGTTCATAATTTTTATTTTACGTTCATAAAATAATTGCTATTTGTAGAGTTTTAGTTTTCGTTCACAAAATATTTGTTATCAGATGAGCTTTATTTTTCGCTCATGAAATAAAAATTACCTGGTAAGTTTTTCTTTCATAAAGTAAAACAGAAGCGCTTCAAACACACAAATAAAGCTTCAGCCCTTAAAGCAGAATATACAGACTTGTATGCATACTTGTTGGCATACTTGCAACGGTTGGTAACCGTTGAAGTGAACGAACATCTCGGCATGCGGATCTACGTCTTCCCAGCAATCATTTATTGGTACAAATTATTTATACTATACTCTTATTGCCCTCACATACGGCTAGTTATGGAGTCATATTTGTAGTTTTTTTGGTGAATATACTAATCCCGTTTTTTTTTTAATAAAAAATTTTCAAAAGTTTCCTTTACGGCCACCGTCCCGCGTAAGGCAGTCGGGAGTTGCATATCTGTAAACGGCAGCTCATGACCTCTCTAAACTGGGGTATAAGAGGAGCCTTGTCCCCTCCCACTCCGCGCACCGGGCACCGCGCACACAACGTAAAGGAAAGTTTCCGAAAGTTTCTGTCATAAAAATGTATATGGATGTATCTATGTGTTCGTATGATTATTATACGTATCGTCACCTGAAATAGAAAAAGTCGTGACTAATAATCTTTTTCATAAAACGATGTGGGGAGTTGTAATTCAATGAAATCCATCATATCAATCACAAAGTGAATTTTGAATTTTTTATCAGTTACGACTTTTTGCATTTCAACAACGATGTTTTGCATTTCAGGTAACGATATATGATATATGAGTTACATAAAGGTATTAATTAAAAATAAAGTAGCTTTATAAAAGGTTCATAAATTTAAAAATGTATGAAAACATCAATTTATAAAGCTCTTTAAACCTTTTTTATTTTTATGAATAAGGCCATAAAACTATTAAAATTTATTATTTTATTGATTAATCCTTATAGTCTTCTGTAAAGATATAGGCTGCTTTTCTTTATACATTCTGGATAATCCCATTTCACAGCCGGAATAAACAGAATGCGTTTGAAATATACGTCAACATATCATCAGGAACGTTCTAAAGAATAAATAAACAAAAAAGTTTATTCCAAACGTTCAGAATGAATAAAGAAATGCAGCCATAATGTGAATCAGTTTAAAAAATAAAATAGGATTTGTACTTTTCTATACAAATATGAAAATCTGTCTGCATTTTGTACTATTAATGTTCATACCTGTCGCAACAACGAGCAGAAAAATTAAAAAATTTCTCTTTTCTTCATACATGTCTGCAGACCTAGAATATGGTATGCACACCCGCCTATCCACGATGGGACGGTATGTCATACTTGACATGCAGTACAGACAAGTCTGCTTGTGTATATTCTGCTTAAGTTTCATTTTGGAATTGAAAATAAAACTCATCAGACAGCAATAACAAGGTACTACAAAAAAAGCCATGAAATACACCTGAAACAAAACCTAGTTATACACTCTAAAAAATCTGTTTAAAAATGCGACTATAAATCGAATATATTTTTGTTTATTTTTTAAATCTGTTGGTAAATTTACACGATGAAGTGTATTTTTCTCGTTTACGCATTTTCGTGTATATTTTGTAGCTCGTACACACTTCCGTAGTAAATTTACGCACACCACAGCAGCTGTATTACACTACAAAAAGTCCGAAATTTACACAAACTGTTCATTGAATAATCGAGCATGTAATTTCGCGAATAATATGGTAGGAAATTTACACAGTTTTTTTTAGAGTGTAGGTTGTAGGTATGGTTGAGTACAACATGAAAATAGGTCCCGTTCCTACACCCTCCATTTTTTTATACCAAAAAAACCGTTTTTTTCGTACTTGATGCACCCCACCATGCAAAACAGGAGAAATAGGCAACAATCGTCAATGGCAACAAATTGGCGACTCACCGATTTATTGCTGTGGTGACAAATCGGCAACATCACTTCGTTCATGACAATTTTGAATAAAAAAGTTCTCAAAAATTCCGAAACTTATGAATATGGCGTCAATAGTATTGGCCAAAGCATCTAAATTATGCCCAAGGACAAGATTGCAGAAATAGGAAGCCTCACAGCGAGAAAATGAATTAATTCCCATTGTAAGTTGCGATTTGGTATACAAAAAAATAAATGAAGTCTTAAAAAGAATAAAATTATTCCAAATATCGCCTGAAGCGATAAGAAAAGGACTCATTCAGGTAATAAGAAAACGACTCGCCCAGGCGAGTTGCCTTCGGCGGACGTTTTAGAGCGACCGGTAATAGGAAATCGATTCGAAGGCAATATTACCGGCAATAAATTTGTTTCCGAGGGCGACACGTTTTCTTATTGCCGGCAACACAAATTGTTTGGTGGGACTTATCTATTAATAGCTTGACTATGTTCCATCCGATTTTAAAAATCGAACAAGTTTTGAAAAGCGGATTTATGAACCTTTAAAACGATGTATAACAATATACGGTTAGACTTAGCTTGTTGGGAGTTTTCATCGGTAAAATTTTAATGAGCCCCTATTTTTCTTAATTTTTTGAACTTTAATCATCGCTAATTTCAAAAATTTCTATGAAAGTTACCAAATATGTGGAATTTATCTAAAAGAACATTTATTTTCGAACAAACTGATACCTCATACAATGCAATTGCATAAAAATTGTCGAAGCTAAGCAATTTAAGCAAAAATATGGCATTTATATGTATGTGTTTTGTTTCGGGTATATTTCATAAATTTTTTTGTAGCACCGTGTCATTTTGTAAACGAAAAATAAAACTCATGATGCATTATTGCGAAAACACTTCCAGGGCCGTTTTATTTTATGTTAAAGTTGAGTTCAAAAAACAGCTACATTTAAACGTTTCTTAATTAGTGTATCTTCGAATTTCGCGATAAAAATGTTGTTTCATTAAACCGATTTTTTTCCTTTAGGCGAAGTCTCAATTATCCGATGGAATTTATATGAAAAGGCTCGAATAAGATTGGAGCCACAGTTTACGCGACAATTAAGCAGAGTTTCCAGTTTATCAGATAACAACGAACCGGCCTCGACTATATCAAGTTTTTCTATAGACATTTTTTATGAAATCAAGTTTTTTTCCAATCCTACAATTAGCTCGAAAATGGTGACGCGTACTGGACAAATTTTATGGATGAAGAGAAATAGGAACCTAAAATACCTCAGATATATGTAAGTACTAAATACTTTTATACTTACTTATGCAATTTTCCTATTTACTATTTAACTAACGTATGTACCTGCACTGGTCCTTTTGCAATTCGATTTATGTGTTCATCATATTTACACTCTGTTTAATAAATCTACTTACTTAAATATAAACTTAATTACCTTCTCCAAACTATGTAAACATTTAACTTCACTTATCTACGAATACTCTTAAATATGTTTCTTCTGTATAATAGTAATACCTACATAAAAATGCATTAACATAATTACATGGTACACTTGTACATACATATTAAAAGCTAAAATGAGATTCATTCACTTTAATTATTCATTAACTTACAGTCATAATCCAGGTGTTTCGCCCGCCAAATATGTATACACCCCAGCCTTCGCTAGAGTCTAGACAGGCGCCTTAGGTGCTCACATCCTGCAGCATGTAGGCGATGGTGTTGTTGGCGCTCGTCGCACTGCTGCCACTACTCGTACTTCCAATAGCACCGCCACCGCCACCGCCGCCACCGTCGCTACTACTGCTGCTGCCACTGCTGCTGAACACAATCATGCTACGGCTATTGGGCAGCACAAACACTTCACTCCCCACCAATCCGATGGGGCTCATCGACTGTGAACTTCTTATAGGACTACGATGCGTATCGAGCCCCAGACGATTGGACCAGTCGTGCGGGCGTTGATTTACGCCGTTACAAACTACTTTATTATAATCATCATCGTTGTCGTTGTCACCTTTTTGCGCGCCATCATTCAACCTTTGCGCACTGCTGAGCACACCTGTGGTGGTTGTACTTGTGCCAGATGTAATATATTCGTCAAAGCTGCGTAGCTGCATTGTCGTAGCGATCGTTGTAATTGATTTGCGTTGTCGACGTGCAGCGGTCTCCGTGCGGAATGTGACAATGGTTTCCTTTTTCAGTTGCTGCATTTTGGCATCGCTTGATCGTAGATTCAATTGCTGCTTATTGCTGAGATCCGAAAGGCTGATATTATTTTGCAGTAAAATTTGTAGATTTTCAATTGAGTCTTTGAGTGGTGGCTTTTCGTTTTCATCTTTGAATGCCTCCTTCAGTTCATCGACACAGGTACGCGGTTGGCTGTTGCTGCGCCCGCTGGTCGAGTTGGCAGATGTGGTGGTATTCATTGAGCTGCTGCCCATAGTGCCCTCCATGGAGTTCTCCATGGACGAGGAACCAGCTTTAGCAATTGCTGGTAAAACGGCTATAGTAACCACGCTCGAACTGCTGGAGAGTGCTGAGGGCGTGAGTGCAGAACTAGAGCTGGTTGTGTTGCCAAAGGAGGAGGATATGTTGTGTTGGCGGCAGAGCGACTTTCGGCGTTGTGCGGTGGCACTCTGCATGTAGGAATTCAGCTCTGAATCGGGTGAGAGATCGTCGCCAGAGTCTGTGCTGACTTTGTTCGTTTGATCGGTTGGAGGAGAGGAGGAGAGTGGTGCTGCCTCCTCCGCTGGTACTTGTGGTGGAGATGATATAAGCTCAGACTTTTTCTCTTCTAGTTGAGTGCCAGATACTGGCTTTTCGCTTTCTTTGATGGGCGATATCACTGTGCGACAATTAGCCAAATCAATATTCTTATTATTTTTCTCGGCCTCCACAGCTGCTGCAGTGCCAGTTGCTTCATTTATTGTCGTCGGCACCGCATTGATATGGTTTGCCTCCAGCGCTGGTAGCTGCGCTGACTTTCCTTTCAAAAAGTACGTAATCATAGAGCCTTTGCCCTTGACGTTAACACTACCGCGACAGGTAAGCTCAAAACCACGTCCGACCAGAATTTGATATACCTCTTGTGTGACCTGGCGTGAAGAGTGCAAAAAAGGCAAACAAAAAGAAGTATGAAAATGCGGAAATTGCGTTAGTGTGTTGACGAGTTGATTGCAAAATCAGTAAAGCGGCAAAAATCGCATTCCTATTATTTATGCGTGTCTATATGTAGATTATATGTATGTACATGCAAGTAAGGAGCATCAGGAAAGCACAATTGCTAACGGTATCTTAATAAACAAAGTCACTCATACGCCACTGCCCACGTGGGAACTCAAGTAATAAGAAGGCAAAATAAATTCGCTTCGAGATAATACAAAAGCATCTGACTGTATGCATTCTGCAGGGAAAGAGAGGGGTAGAGCAGCAAAATATTTACGTGAATAAATAATGTCACCAACTTTCTTGGCCTCTGTTTATACACAATGCAGCAGAAATGGATTGTGACCAACTTAGGGTAGTCCAATTTTATATATGAACAGATCGCCCTAACTCGCTTCGCTGAGTGTATGAACATAAAGTGTGATTTATTTCAATAAAACTCAACGTACTTAAACTATGCCAAAACTAGGAGATTTAAAATTTTTTTACAATCTTCTGAATATTTTCAAACTAAAACTTTCTTAGCCTTCTTCCTTACATGTTGCATACAATGAAGCCCATATTTTAAAAATTCGTTGAAATTATTGAATAGTTTGAATTTAACCTTTTTAAACCTCTTCTGTCTGATACTCATATTGTTTTTCATAACCTAAAGGTGAAAAGGTGCCAAGTCCATTTTTTCGAAATTTTACTTTTTATGCAGAATGGCAGGTAATACGTAATTATATCGATTTTTCGTCTTGGCATCTTTTCATCCTTTGGTGACGATACTTATGTATTCAAATTACCTAATTCCTATAATTCAAGTTGAATAACATATGGAAACCCTGCAATACCTTTGTAGCTTAGAAATAAAGACTTTTCAATACTCTTTCGTTTAAAACCTGTATTGTAATATTTAATTTAATTTATAATATGTATATGTAATATTATTTGAGTGTGGTTTTAAAACAAGTGATAACCCTCTTCAAACACTCCCAGAAATTTCTATATGTTCAAGCTCTTAAATTTAACACTTTAACTTGAGTATAATTAACCAAATTCGACTTTAAAAACAGGTGGCAACACTCTTCAAAATATCTTCCAACTATAACCTTATTAAACCCCTTTCGTCTGACACTCATATTGTGATACACATTATAATAACCTAATTCCCTTAGTTCAAGTAGCATATGATTTTCCAAGCAGGTGGCAACCCTCCTACAGCTAGTTAAGAAGTAAAACCCTTATCAAAAGCCTTTCGATTGATACCCATATTGTAGCGATTCATTCAAATTAATAGAATTTAATTTTTAAACGGGTTACCACCCGTTAGTATTCTAAATTTTTCATCCGAATGTTTCTAAACAACCTTTCATTTGACAGCCATATTTTAAATTTTCAGTTAGCTTGCGAATCATTTATTTAAATTTGTGGCAACCCTTTTCAATATATTTTCAAACTACAACTTTTTTAAGCCTCTTGGCAGTGAACTTCTATTTTCATTATTTTGGCTCGAGAAAAAACAATAAATAGAAGATTTTAATTTATATTTTTTTTTAACTTTGAACGCATTTTCTTTGTAAAAGTTGGTTAGCCAGATTTTTCCAACCGATCAATTCTAGTTTTTTTGCGCTAGCTTTTTAAATTAATTTTTATGGACGGATTGAAGAAGTATTCTACATCTCGAAACTTCCTCAGCAGCATGTTGTGGCGTGGCATTACCCACCTGTGTTTGAAAGTAAACGCCTGCTTCTCTAATCCTTTTCACATTCTATATATCAATCTATATGTACTAATTATATAAAGAAATGTACCTTTTTTGTAAGTGGTGATCTCATGAGCGGCGGTATAGTGGAAGGAATATACGGCCCCAAAACCAAGAACTCCATTATCTTGCCGAACTACCCTAGAGCGGATGTTTTTGCCAGCAAATTTTGTGCGGAAGTAATTGTGCAGAAATAATCAAGAAGACATCACATCTTTGACCTGCGATAGTCAGCCTGCTAAAAAATTCGCGTCTCCGTAAGAGATTAAAGCACGGGTTATATGGAAATGTGTAATGGAATTGAACACCCTGGGGGAACACAACATAGTGCATCTGCTGCGTGTCTAGCGCCACAAAAGCATACATGGCAACGAGGAGGCTGACAGACTAGCTAAAGAGGCAGCAGAATGGCTATTCGACCTATGGGAACAGAACCCTTCCTTACAGTCGGGCCTCATACCATCTGGGAAGAGTTAAGAAAAGAAAAACGACAGCCAAGTAGAATACATTGGGAGAACATGTCTGGACTAAAGCAGGCGAAAGAGCTTCTAGGAAGTTATCATGCTCGGTTTCATCAGAGCACTAGGGCTGGACGTGGGGTTATGATGAGCTCTGTGGGGCACAATAGACCTAAGGTCGCAGTGCACATCCTCTAACTCCGGTATAAAGCTGTGATCGATAAAAAAGGCTAGTCTTGAAGTTACTGTAGCACGAGGTAATGCATTAGAGTCGGGAGTATTGTTTTCCTAAAACGAAAGCTTAATTAACTATGCTTAGGAAGTTTTGCATAAAAGTCTACAACTGAAACACTAGTCTCCCTAGCGATATTTGTTGAAACTAAAGAGCGAACGTTAGATGGGTGTTATTTAACTTTAACTTATTTAAAAGGGTTATCCCAGTACAAGTTCTGCATCAAAACTTCAACTTCAAGTCGCCACCGGTTATCGTCATTCTACAGCAATAAAACTTTATACATTTGTATATATGCTAGTTAGGTCAAAAGAAAACAGTATGCGTATCGAAATTCTCAGAAAAATGCACCATTTATATTCTAGAACACCCTAAAGCAGACATGCCAAGCAGAGAGCGCTTGCTTAAGGAGTTCATACAGCGTTGGGCAGGACTGCCCTAAAGTATATACATACATACATACATAGATATTTGGATATTCATAGTTTCTATTTATTGTTACATATGTATGTATATGTAAGCTAAACAAAAGCTTTATCTGAACCAGCTGTACCAATTCATATCGCATAAAGATTGGCAATTTAATATTGTATTCATTGTGTGGTAGTGCTTTGTCAAGCATCATTCATCTTTTTGTATGATTAAAATTATTTTTTGGCCATGATGAATGATATTTATTTAGCTACCACAATACATATTTTACTGTTTCATTCTATTTTGTTTATTAAACTCTAACTCAATCACCACATAAAGCAATAATCAATATTATTTACTTCTTTGAAATTTTGTGAGCATCTTATGTGCCTAAGTATGTAAGTAAATATTTTCTCTTGTTGTGGGAAAGAATATTCATAGCTTTGTATTCAAAAATATTTAATAGGTTTTGTGGAGTTAGATTGCATCCAGCGATTCCATAGCAATTAATAACGGATTACCTGTATATGATCTGGCAACCCAGTAGAGTCCATGCGTGAGGCCACATTTACGGCATTTCCCCAAATATCATATTGTGGCTTACGCGCTCCAATAACACCAGCCACAACAGGCCCGATATTTATACCTTAAAAGGAGAAAAGATAAACAAAGATAAGTTATAGATAACTGTACTAAAGAGATGGGGTTATTAAGGGACTGTCACTTTATCATCAATCAATTAATAACTAGTGTGTCATATGAAAAGTCTCTGCGGATTTTCGTTACTATGTGCTGTTGATGTTCATAAATTAAAAAATTCAAGAGTTGTTTTTATTGGTATCACTCCCTTCTCTCGGCAGAAAAAAAAACGCTAAAGCATTCTTCTTGCAGTTGGAATTCCAGAAACAAGTGCAATAAGAAATAAATCAAGTATTTGACAAATGTTAGAGGCAATGAAAGTTTGCATAAAATAAAGCATATCTGTGAAGTTTCAAGAGTGTGCCACCAAATTAAAAAAATTACAGCTATTTTGTAATTTTTCCAATTTAAAGATTTTTTAGTTGTAAAAGTTTAATGCTGGATTTCCACTAGGCAATAAATGGCAAACATTTTAATGACAAACTTGGGCATTAAAAAATATTTTTGTCATTACGTTAAGTCATTTTAATGCCTAGTGGGAATTCGGCATAAGAATGCCAACATTAAAGGGTGGAAATGTTTTCGTTGCCAAAACGAACCAATCTAGAGTAATAAAGGTAGTGTGCCACCAAATGAAAAAAATTACATTGATTATAAGATGCCAATGATTTGCGAAAAAAATTCTAAGTAGTTTTACAATTTGTATTGGCACACTCGAAATTCTTTATGAGATTTTTACATACATGAAGAAATCATTAGAGTTTTCATATCATATATTAACGCATTTTATCATATCTCACGACAAACATATGTAAGCGCGCCTTTGAATTCGCCGTAGCGAATTACTGTTTTCTTACCTATACGCAGCCGAAAATTGTTGAACGAATGTGTATTAACCTCTTCGATTTTATCAAATAATTGCAGTGCATACTCTGCCATAGCGGTAACATGACAAAAGTTCACTTGATTACAAGTATTTGCCGTTAAACCAGAAGCGGCCATATATGTTGCACCAGTACTTTTAATCTTTTCAATGTAGCTAGACGAGGAGATATAGAAAAAAGAAAATAAATTAAATTAAAATTCAATAGATAATAGACTGGATCCATATTCCATTGGCTTCGGAATAGCATTTTTTATTTTTTTTATTTTAAATAGAGGAACATATTTTACGTTGTTTAAGATTTTGTAAAAAAAATTGTTTTTAATTTTTTTTTTAACCTCGTAATTTCCGTAACTTTAAACTTTACTTAGTTGCTCCTAAGCTTATTTTTACCCAATTGCTGTACTTTTTTTAAATTGTTCAATAAGTATTTTTTGCATAAAAATTTCGTTTGGTATTATTTCGTTTAATAAGGGCTCTCTGAAGTTCTCAAGAAAAATCACAAGAAATATTTTTCGTTGTTTCTGTTGTTTGAGAAGGTACTTTGCTGTTGCTCTTAATTCTCGTGAAGAAATAATTATTAGAACATTTTTTTTCTTGAGAGCTGCATACTGATTTAAAAAACTTTGATAGAATAAAATTTCATTTCCATTTCTTGTGTGTCATTTTATATGAATTTTTCGTTTTTCTTGAGAGCCCACTAGAACCTCTTAAATTGTTCCCTAAGGGAGTTTTTTTTTTTAATTTTAGTCATTGGTTTAAATAAAAGTAAAAAATATCTTGTAAAGTAAAGACTTTTGATATATAGCAATAAAGCCTGACTTTTTTGAATGAACAAAAAAATGTTTAACACAAAAATGTGTATACATATATTATTTCTCCATATACCAATGCATGATTGGAAATTTACCAGCCTTTGCTAGACTTAAGCTTTAAATAATGCAGTCAAATTCAAAGTTTTTAGTATTCTTATGAATTGCAATTTTAATTAAAACTACCAAACAAACAGTTTGCCATAGACCAAATAGACATTTATGACGTGTATAAAACATGTCACTTACATATTTATGCCACAAACTCACCGAAAACGTTCCTCACTTAGCAATTCGTCAAAATCGGCGATAATCTCGTTGAGTAGACGCAAACATTCCACGCCCTCATTATTACCTTCTAATTCAACATAGAACTCCGAAAAATTCGGTATCGACGCAAACAATATACACACACTATCACATTGCTCATGGTAGAGATCCTACGTTATTTTACGCCATTATTTAGTGTCGCCAGCAATACCAGCCAGAGTTGTTGGCATTCGAAGAGATAACGAGAGTGGTGGCGTGCGTGGGCGGCAATATGAAAGAGGCCATCCGTGCCAGCAGCAATGCAGCACCAGCACAATCCATAGCGCATGCAGCAAATATGGTGTTATAGTTGTTGCACATTATTTGGTATTTGTTGGTGGCGTTAGTGGCGTTAATCAAGTGTCAGTGAAGTGTTGATTTAGTGGTTGTGTTGATGTTTCATGGAAAATGCAGTGGTTGTCAACCGTTGATGTGGCAGCGTAAAGAAAAAGAAAAGTAGGGAAAAAATTGTAATTTATGGAATTCAGCGTAGATGCGATACATACATATACATGTACGTACATAAATAAATGCGTTATTGTGCATATATGTATATGTTGTATATATTAAAAGTAGATATGTATTACGTATATAAATATGTTTGTATAAAACCTTCTTTATAATATCGTGATAGTTTGTATGTAACGTACTCATAATTTGGAATTTATTAGTCAAAGGAGTTTTGGCGCAGATCAAATTGTTAAGTAAATGAGATTAACGCGCAGAGATTTATTTTTTTTGTATGTATGAAAGGTTTAATTTGTTAGATGTTTCAACTCTGTGGTCAGTCTCCTTAGCGTTGGATATATCGAACTCTAGTCCAACCATACTTTCCAACGGGTTTCTGATTATGAATGTGGGAACTGTTTTTAAGATTTAAAATGCGGATCCAATATGGCAAAAAAAAATTAAAATCGACTAGATTAAAACAAATAATTCCGGGTATGGCGGCTGCATATTGGATATACCATTTATCACGCAAAAGTTAAAGTCGAACGTTAGTACGTACATGGCGTATGAGTTACTGAGACGAGATGAGAATGTTACTCATACGCGTACGTACACGTTCGACTTTAACTTTTCCGTGATAAATGGTAAATCCAATATTCGTGCAAATTCTTAAAATAGACTACAGATTCGTAATCAACAACCCTAAGAACATAAGAAACCGCTTTTACTTTTTCTCTTTTTGTGTTGAGTTCTTGTGAGGCACAAAAGTTATAAAGCAAAATCTAGTTTAGATGCCATAGTTGCTTAGCATAGCTTCAAACTGAGATCTTGTAGAACTCTCGACACTGCGCACGTTTTTGGACAGGGGGTGATCAATTTGGTAAATAACGCCCAATATATACATATATGTATATGTTTTATTTTTTTATGGACGATTTTCAACTTTTTTATCAACAATGCCACTCTATCGAACTTGAAAGATGCGACTATGAAATCGGCAGTCAGACTCAGAGAGTCAAGTTTGTGGGGAACTATGTATACCCACCAGACACGGGTTTATTATTAATGAAACGCGAGTAAATAGAAAGAATTCTGACTTCAACTGTAGCGTGCAAGTGCGTTTCGCAGAAAGAATGGGGAAGTGAGCGAGTGGTCAAGGAAGGCTTTTTTTCTTCAGGAGCGGGATTGTACCATTAAAAATTCTGCGTTGATCTATCTCTACGTCTAAGGTACACTGGGATACATCCAAGCGAATTTTGTGGTACGTACCAGTACAGGCCATTCCAGTACAATGCCATCCGAAATTGACTCCCATCGGATATAAAAAGGCTGAACCAACCACAAGCTATGCACAAAGTTCCAAATTCGATTTACCCAACTTCTTTAGAAGGGGAAAATTTGTAAAAAAAAAATATTTGGCACTTAACTACACACTTGGTAGTGCTTAGCCGAGCTTCTCCTCCGATGTTTTCAAACTAAGGGAAAAGGGCAAGCCCTTCCTGAAATCGTCCATTTAGAAATGGTTCTCGTTTTCCAACTGCGTTATGCTTGGAGGGCATGGTTTTCTTACATACGGATCAAAGATGGAATGTGTGTTAGATGCAGGCATTTTCATTGAGTGACCCAGTTTGAAGCTGCCCTCTTTCCTACCAGACTACGTGAGAGTACAATTTTAAGTTTAATTAAATGCGTATGTATGTATGTACATACCGATTTTAAAGTAAAATACAGGCTTTTGCTTGGTGGTGTTAATATTCTACGCATGACTGTACTATATCCAAATCATGTGTTGAGAGAAACATATTTGGTTGACATAACTAAATTATTTTCTCAGTGTAGTGGAAATTCGGCTTTAGTTTAAATTTTTTTATATATCGCTTTAAATTCTATTGTCGCTGTTTATCAGAGAGTAAGCACGGAATGTTCAAAAAAAATATTCTTGAAATTAAAAAAAGTTACAAACAATATGCATATGTACAATACAACCAAAGGTACTTACATCGATATTCTTTTCCCGACTCAGAAAATGTTCCGCAACATGCACAGGCAGAATATTTTCCAGCAGCTTGCGATTATACGCTTGCAAATGTTCCATAT